AAGTAAACAAGTATATAACGTTAATTTAATTCAAATAATCGAAAGGGGAAAAAACATATAGAAATCCAACCATATTCGGTGTCCTAGTGCCCTTGCTCACATCAACCAAAATGACCTTTGAGTGTCAAATGATAGAACGAATCTATTGTGTTACTGCCTCCTTTTAAGTTGTTTTATAATCCAATAGGTCATTTTGATCCTTGTGAACGAGTGCTAAGACCAAGGTCAAACATCGAACTTCACGCAAGTCGAATCTAATAACATCATAGAAGACCGCCTTGTTATCTATTGTTTCAATTAGGTTAGGCTCGTGTAAAGTTCAACGTTTGGCCTGAGCCTAGCCCTCCTAATCATACTTACAGGCCATCGTCCAGAAAACATGTAGGTCAGTGGATTCCTTATACCACTTCCGACAAGCCTCCCATAACCAGGGAAGTCGAAATCATCGTCACCCAACACATAAGTATCCCAGGATTTCCATGTGGAAGCTGACCAAGATGCTGGGTACGGTTTTAGCCATATCTCGAAGAAATTGTCGCAGTCATTCAGACATTTACCAAAAAAACGGACTGCATCGCAACAGCCACCGCTATAATCCTCACTCTTTCTGTTATAATGGTCGTAGAGCTGTAGGGATACGTATCCATTGGCTGAAGTATACTAACATCAAAAAAGACATGTTAGATTATAGAGATTAAACTGCTTTGTATCATTTTATTGTATAGTTAGGATAGTAAGTGCGCTCTGATTGGTCGAAAACTGTGCTATATTTGTGAACGGAGTACAGTGCTGACACCATCCGCGTACGCAAATTGCTGCTAGATCCTGCTACCGTCTTTCAAGACCGAGTGTGAGAAGCACTCGCCTACAACTAGTGCTTCTGTTTATACATTCTTTCTTGCTTACGTCAATTCCTGCGTGCTTTATTATCGAACGGATAATTCAATATTCTTGAGATGCATGTTACGACATAGCCGCCATCTTGGTTAACGATAGCAAGGCATTCCTCATTAGCTTTTCTTGTTTGATCAACCAACATGGTGGCAATTTAATCGTTATTTATATGTCAAGGGATTTTCAGTCATATGGTTGCACCCCAAGAATACACTGAAGGTGAGACCGCCGACACTTCTCAGTTTTGCAGTAATTTTTCGTTTGCAAATGACGTCATAGCCGCCATCTTGATTGAATTTGTTATACAATCAACATGACCGCCGTGTCTTTCGTCATTTCACTCCCTTTTGAATGATTGAAAACCAGAAATAGTCGAAGTGAAAGAAGGAGAAGAATGAGAGAAAAAAATCGAAGGAGAAGAAAGGTAATGGAATAGAAAAGAAATGAAAGGATGGTATAAGGAGAACGAGGGCATAAAAAGGCAGCGATAGGGGTCGTGAGGGGATGAGACTCGAGGATTGTCTTGAGACTCGGGGTTATTGTGCACACATAATCACAAGTTTACGTTATACGATTAAAGAAAGTCACGCTTAAATTAAAGGAGAGAAGAAAAAACAAATAGACATTACAAATGTGAATTAATTAAAGTAGCATAAACTATCAAGTTGACCAACACTAGAAGCGCAAGAAGAACTGAGTAAGATATAGATAAGAGAGGGGGAAAATAGATTTGGACAATGTCAAATGATCAGGAAAAAAGAAAAGTACTGGAAAACTTTCAAAACTACCAATGACTAAATTAACCAAAACACAATAACAAAGTTTGCATCTGCAAAGAAAAGGCACTGAGGAACAAGACTGATTGAGCACCTACGTTCCGAGGTTGAGGAAAACACTAGGTCGAGTTGGCATTGTGGTGCTGTTTTAGGGGACATATTTCCAAGATGGTGTCTTTGCGCAGTGTGATTTTAATCGTTCCTGCTGCTTCTTGCCATCCGCATCGAAGCAAAGAAGGCGATCGAGGAGGGTATTTTGTGAAAAACATGGTCCTAGAAATATCAACCGTTTCCTAATACAAGGGAGCACTCTGCCAGTCAGCATCACATGTAATCTATAAATTTACTAGCAGCTATTTTTAGCTTAGTTAATTCATATCTTTTTAAATTCGCCATAATTCACTTCGAATAGATTAGCATCATCCCACGCATAGCACACTGAAGAAGGTTTCAGAGACGTGATCGCCGAGGCATGAACACTTGAGCTAGTTATCGATCTAACTTTCGTTTCATATTAAAGTCGTGCCGAAAGACAGTCAGGATATCAGGATACTGCTTAAATTAATTAAGTCAATCTCGTTATCCCATGGTGTACTAGTTTGTAAATTATGTTGTGAAATCTTGGTCAAGCAACACTGTGTTGTCAATTAACAAGAGTTAATTATTCCCGGAATAATTATAAAATAAGTTTTTAAAAAAACTTGAATATATTCTTAAAATAAACAAAGAAAAAACAGTAGACGAGGAGCGGGTCAAGTACAGAGAGTAGTATACGTGAAGGTTGCATGTATACCTTACATATGGAGATAAAATTATATAATCGGTGATTAATATACGCAAATCATTCAAAACAAATTATTGGCAAAACATTTCTATGACTGAGGCTTGACAATGTTTTCTATCTTAGAGTAAAAATAATTTATATACTTACTTGAATACTGAGAGAAAACATCACCAGTGATGTGATGACTCGAAAGATGCTCTGTTTGGTGTTCAGCATGTTGTACTGGACTTGCTAACTTGAGCTTTCTACACAATCTAAATGAAAGCTAATATTGTTCCAATGAATGAATACCTTGATAATTAACAGGTCAACGTAAAAGGTATCTGTAGTTTTACGGAGAACGCGTAGAATATAATTATGACTGGAGTTACGAAACTTTCTGGCCCCAGTTTACGTAGCGTTTGAGGTCGTGATCCTTTGAGGGAAAGGCGACGATAGCGCACGGTAATTCTTGAAGAGCATATCGTATATCATAAAGTTGATGTAGGCACGGATCGATAGACAGGAATTTCCTGTCCACCAATCATGCTCTGCTATGAAAACAATGAAACAATTCTTAAGCAAACTTGAGATTGTGATAAACTATTCAAGATGAAGAAAGATTTAGGCAATAGCTTATTTTGGCTGTTGATTATTTGTGTAAAAAAGGCGTAAATCTGTAGTTTTAATAACAAAAAATAATGGTGTGTTTGTGAAGAGGAATTTGAAGGAACTTGAAGACCGAGGGCATTGAAAACAATTGAAAAGAGAGTGATAAAACAATAAAGTTTGATGGCACAACACGAAAAGGAAATCCGTGTGAGGCATTCAGTCACATTTCGTGATTAACTATTTGCTTATGCAAATATTTTTTTAAAAGCCATTCGTAATGTAGAAATTAATCTAAATTCAAATCTGTTATAACTTATTATCATCATTTATTGATCTTAGTATTTATTAATATACTTTTAATAATTTATTAAAAGTATATATTATACTTTTAATAATTTATTAATATACTTTTTATTGTTAATTGTTAGTAGTAGAATTAGTGGATTTTTTTTGTTTTTTTTTTTGTTTTTTTTTTGTTTTTTGTTTTGTTTTGTTTT